GGAGGGGGAGAGAGGAAAGAGGGAGAAAAGGAGAGAGGAAGGAGAAAGGAGGGGAGAGGGAGGAGGGATGGAAGAGGGAGAGAGGGAGGAAGAAGGAGGGAAGAGGGAGGGGGAGAGAGAATTTAGGTCTGCTGCACAGAAGGGACTATGTGCCTGTTAACCTGCACTCTAAAGATGGTCAAAAAACTGGTGAGGTCAAACTTTCCTGGTTAAACAGCGAGGACACTAAACCAATGAGTCATCTCTCCAGCCCTCAGTTAACAATGCTGTTATAATAAATGCCCAGAAGTGTTTCTGCATGTTCAGAAGCATCTGTAAACTATGTAAAATTGAAGCAATAAAAATATTGCTCAAATATAATTTAAGCTGTAAAATTAATACAAGATAAACTTTTAATTTTATGAAGCAAATAAAAATATGAAGGAAAAACATTAATGGGTATTCTCTTAACAATATCAACACTTTTCTGCTTCTTTCTCTGTTCACTGACACCTTACTGTGTACATGTATGCAAATGCACAAACACATAAACACACACATACAGAGAGAGAGAGAGAGAGAGAGAGAGAGGGAGAGATATTAGAATTATTGCTCATTTTATGGGAGCAAAGTGGCTTACTTAAGGCCTTTAAATAGAAATGGATATAGTTCTCCTTCCAACAGATTTGTGTTTACTATTTACTTATCTGATCTCTCAAAGATTGTCTCTGGGTCCCGAGACAAGACCATAAAGTTATGGAATACTCTGGGTGTCTGCAAGTACACTGTTCAGGACGAGAGTCATTCAGAATGGGTGTCTTGTGTTCGCTTCTCCCCGAACAGCAGCAACCCAATCATTGTCTCCTGTGGATGGGACAAGCTGGTTAAGGTGTGGAATCTGGCTAACTGCAAACTAAAGACCAACCACATTGGCCACACTGGCTATCTGAACACAGTGACCGTCTCTCCAGATGGATCTCTCTGTGCTTCTGGAGGCAAGGATGGCCAGGCTATGCTGTGGGATCTCAATGAAGGCAAGCACCTTTACACATTAGATGGTGGTGACATCATCAATGCCTTGTGCTTCAGCCCCAACCGCTACTGGCTTTGTGCTGCCACTGGCCCCAGTATCAAGATCTGGGACTTGGAGGGCAAGATCATTGTAGATGAATTGAAGCAAGAAGTTATCAGCACCAGCAGCAAGGCAGAGCCGCCCCAGTGCACCTCTCTGGCATGGTCCGCAGATGGCCAGACTCTGTTTGCTGGCTATACAGACAACTTGGTGCGAGTATGGCAGGTGACTATTGGTACCCGCTAAAAGTTTATGACCGAGTCTTAAAAATAAACTGGCTTTCTGAAAAAAAAAAAAAGAAAATAGGTAAAAGGCACATTATGTTCTTTGATATTGACAATGTTCCTAAAAGGGTTTATAAGGAATTGAGAAGATGGCACACTGGGTAAATGTTTGGAACCTGAACTGGGATCCCTACCACCCACATAAGTACTGAGTGTATTGGTACACATCAGTAACTCCTGCTTTGGCAGAGGAACAAAGACAGGTAGATTCCCCCAAGCTACCTGGCAAGCCAGTCTAGCCAAATCAGCAAGTCCCAGGTTGAATGAGAGACTATGTCTCTAAAAGCATGATAGTGATAGCTAAACACAGCAAGGGCAAGCTGGGCAGTGGTAATTGCATGCCTTAAATCCCATCAGGAGCCAGAGGCAGGAGGATCTCCAATTTTGAGTCTAGTCTGGCCTTCAGAGTGCATTCTAGGACAGCTAGGGATACACAGAGGAACCCTATCTTGGAAAAACAAACAAAACAACAAAGACAGTGGGGTCTAAAGAGATGGCTCCTCAGTTAAGAACACTTATTGGTCTTATAGAGAACTTGGGTTCAATGCCTTGGGATTCTCCATCCTCCTATGACTTCTGAGGACACCCAGGCACTTCTGAATCACCCCCAGATAGACTCCTGCACCCCACTAAACCATTACAATTTGTGGGAGCAAAAGCAGCGAGTGATGTAATTTAAGTTTGAGTTCCACGAAAAACAGAATGTAGTTACTGGACACAGCCAGGCAGAAGTTACAGGCCTCCAGATCCTAAGGAGTCACCTTTGAAGACCTCCAGAATGTAACAAACCACCTTTTGTAGGTCTCTCTAATGTAAAGAGCAACCTTTGCAGGGTTGCTAAATTTGACAAATAACCCTTGCAGGCTTCCGTCCATGGCCCCTTGAACATTCCACTACTAGCGAACATAGTGCAAGAACAGAAAGTTACTGTTACTTTCCTTTCCCCGCCCTCACCTCTCACTTCATGTCTTCTAGGAGAAGGCATTCGCCCGCCATTACCCCTTCTTGCCAATGCCCCTTGCAAACTTCCCAGATCTCTAAGGTGCCCGATTCCCACCACATAGTGTGAGGACAGTGCTGAAGAGTCACTGCTTTCAGAAGATAGCCGCCCTGGGTGAGTTGATCAAACTTGAAGCAGAGATGATTCTGCTTCTTACTTTCCACCCTCACATGCGAGCCCACGTGCTGGGGGCCCAGACCTGTTGTTTTCTACTCATAAGAACCTAGTGAAGCTAGATGGATCTATCCTGGGAAAACTTACCTCCTGTGTCTAGGGTCACAATCACGGCTAGAGTCATGGTAGAGCTAAGCTATTCCTCGGGCTTAAAGGAAAGGATTGAGGCGGCTTATTTTCTCTGGTCTGCTTTGGCATGGGGAGGGGGAGGTGCGGGGCAAGGTAGCCGGGTATGGAGTGGGGTAGGGCGCTGGCGAGTGAAAATGAATGCTCAGACTTCGATGGTAGAGGGGCACAGAAACCCACAGGCACCTTTGAATCTTCACAGCTGCCATTCGGGGTCAATTTGTGGCCCAGATGACCATCTATTCTGAAATGTCACTCATGTTCTCTTGCTCGCTTGACGATATCTGTTTCAAATAGTACTACTGTTCGAATTTCAAAGCTTTACTGCAGCGTGCTTGCGTTTCTGCCCCACCGTGTGGCATAATATATATATTCTGCCTTTTATTTTTTCAGTCTGTGGTATGTTATATGGTATCCCTTGTTTGCTTTTAAATTTCTCAAACGTTTACTCTTGAAAAACTACTTTGATGCCGTTCTCCTACCTTCTTTTATATGACTTGAACATTTTTCTTTCATTTGATTACCCTATAATTTTGCCCCATTTTGTCCTGAATCCATCATTTAATTTATCTGTTCATGTACCTTATTCTGACTCTTACCTTGAAATTCTTTCCAAATCTCCTTTTATTTCCTCTTTCAGGTATATCTGTTGCTACTAATATAACGTGGTTGTATTTTATTTCTGATACTACATTTTTTTTAAAGATTTATTTATTTATTATATATGAATACACTGTAGCTGTCTTCAGACACACCAGAAGAGAGCATCAGATCTCATTACAGATGGTTGTGAGCCACCATGTGGTTGCTGGGATTTGAACTCAGGACCTCTGGAAGTGCAGTCAGTGCTCTTAACCACTGAGCCATCTCTCCAGCCCCTGATACTACATTTTTAACGTCTCAGAAAATTCATTTTATGCATTTTGCAATTGTTGACTGAAGATTTCAATCCGTTTTTATTAACAATAATGCCATTTTGACGAATTTCATACTTATTTTTAAATTGCTAATTCATTTCTTTTTCAGGAAAGTATATATAATATGCTGTAGGTTTCATTTTGATCTCCAAGTGGAGTTACCTCCTTCCAGGGGAGAGATTTTTGTTGTTTACTTGTTAGTTAGCAAGCAAGCATAGGAAACCCTCAGTCTGCCACTGCAGCCCACCTAGGGCTACCATAGGATGTAAAACTAGGCCTAATTGCTGTGGTGAGGACTTCACGGACCCTGAGTTACCAGGTTTCTAAAAGCCCAGACCTTAAAAGCACATGCACACAGCTCCTCCATCACCAGTGTGGCCAGTGCACTGATGTTACCTAGGCAACTGATGTAGGCACTTATATGGTGCGGATGGAAGTGGTACTCTACCACCACCAAACCAAAGCCCTCAAATCTCCTAAATCTCATGGGTGTTTGAGTTATTAGGATGAAACTATTGTTTTTTCCTTGGAGAATTGGTGTGTTCCAGTTAAGATGTACTCACCTAATTTAATTGATTTTGGTACCATTAGAGCCTCTGGAATGTTCAAAGGAAGCATTTTTCCCAGGCCTTGCAAAGATTGAGCTAAATCTTCAAAGTTTGCTCTGTTGTCTTTCCTTGGCATGCCCCCAAACTCACTTTGTTGTTGTTGTTGTTGTTGCTGCTGCTGCTGCTGCTGCTGCTGTTAGCACTATGTCTCTGTAGATATTTAGCAAATTTTCATAGCTCCTTAGTGCCTTCCGTGCTTCCTCATGAAATTGATGATTCCTCTTTTTAAAATTGTGTGTGTGTGTGTGTGTATTTGTGTATGTGTTGCCTGTCTGTGAGCATCATATATGGGTGGTGATCACAAAAGCCAGTAGAAGGAATCCAATACCCTGGAAATGGAGTTTTGAGCAGCTTTGAGCAGCATATTGGTGGTGGAAATTAAATTGGGATCTTCTGTAAGAAAGAACAAATGTTCCTAACTGTAGCCCATAGGCTGCTGCTAATTTTTTTACTTTGCAAGAATTAAGAATTAATTAAGAATTAAGGTCATTTTGCAGTCTCATTTCCTCCCAGTCTTTGGCATATAACAAACAAGAAAGCATTGTATAGCTATAATCTTTCATTGATAAAAATCTTTATATTTTGATGCAAAATTGAAGTTATGTTTTCTTACATTAGTACAAAATTTTGGATATTGATACAAGTTTAAGGTTTTCATTGGTATAAAGCTTGTATATTGATACAAAATTTAAAATTAATTTTGTTACCCTGGGATAGGCATTGTGCCTATACAACTCATTTAAGAATACAAGGCTTAGACCCACTCCTTTTAATAGGTGGTATTATAAACTGTTTAGGATAGTTAAATATTATAAGTTAATAAATAGTAAAACTCATGATCATATTAGATTCTAATTTAGTTAATTACAACAAAGTGTTTTCAAGGTTATTCAAATAATAAATAGCTAAAAATAATCAGTTTAACAATTTAGATATGTTACATATAGATACTCTTCAAACACATCTGAGATCCACAAAATATGGCATTTAAAATTATTTTATTATTAAAAGATCTTTTGATTATGAGACAGTGCTCTGACAGTACCCCCATTCGATTTCAAAGAAGATAATGAGCATCAGTGCCTCCATGTGGAGTTGCCTCAATTAGTGGTTTGGAGAACCTGTTGCTCTTGCAGAGGACCTGAGTTCAATCTTGGCACTAACATGGTGGATCAGAACAATCTATAATTACAATTGCAGGGTATCTGACCACCAAGGGCACCAGGCATGTACGTGGTCAACATGTACACATGCAGGCAAAATGGATATATATTGTAACTCTTTGGTTTTGTTATAAAGATAAAATAATTCTGGCTTTGTAAAGGAGATTTGGTAATGTTCTTTTCATTACAGTTTTTTCTGGAATGGTTCCAGAAAAATAGAGATAGTTACTCTTTAACTGGTTTGTAGAATTTGGCTGTGAACAGATTCAGAATATTTTTTATATAATTATTGATTACTGCTCATTATATTTTCTAGTTTTTCTTGATTCAAATTTTATAGGTTGTATGTTTTCAGAAATTTATCTATTTCATCTAGGTTTTCCAGTTCAGGGTATATAATCATCTATAGTATTTTCTTAGCTCTTCTGTATTTTGTTTCTAATGTCTCCTTTTCATTTCTCCTTCTTTTTAGTTGATTGCTTGTCAGTTTGTAGGTCTTTTTGTTTTGCTAGTCTAGCTAAATGTTTATGAGATGTATCCTTTCAAAACCTTAACTCTTTAAATTCATCTTCTACATTACTTTAACATTTTTACTTTTATCTGTACTCTAATCTGTAATATGTTCTTCTACTGGCTTTACATTTGGTTTGTGGCTGCTTTGTTTTTAATTATTGTTTTTTGAGACTGTGTTGAGTGTAGCTCATCAGTGTGTGCTTAAATTTGCATCTTTCTTCTCAATTCCAGAACAAAACAATGAGAAATTTTCTCTCCAAGCAAAGGAGAAAGACATGAGTTATTTACAAGAAGGTTCTGGAAATGAGAACCTTTATGATGAATTTCATCTGGACAGTTTTTTAGCTCCACTACTCCAGGATGATGATGGAAATATGCAGATAATGAATGCCTACGGGGACCCTCAAATACTATGGTAAGTAAGAGGCAAGCTGGCTTGCATGTAATATCCCTTGGGATTGTACAGTTTTCTCACTCTGAAATTTTTCTCTTATTTCAATAAAAAAGTGAGCAGCAATTGAAGTCCTACTTAGAGAGCCTAGAGCGATGATTACCAGTACATGACGACTGGTCCTTTTTAATAGACTGTGTGGCAATTCCAAATATTTGTAAATAACTCTATCAATTTCTCCACAGCAACTCTTATACCTTTAGAGTCAACGAAGATTATGACACAACTTACTCAGCATGCCAAAAGACAATTCTTTCTGATGAAGAAATAAACAGAAACATACTGGGTGAAGCCTTGGAGAGCTGGTTCAAGATCACGGTGAGTGTACTCATCGGTGTACAAGGCAGGCAGGTCAAGTGCTGTTACTTTGATCACATCTAAGACTAGATTTTAAAAAAAAGGAATAAAAAGCCAACAGGCTGGATATAAGAAGGCAAGGCCACAGGAGGAGGACAAAGGTGGAAAGTACCACAGAGAACACGGAGAAGCTTCCCAGCAATTATCTCATAGTGATTAAAACTTAAGAGTTTTTGACAGCTCTGAAATCTTGCCAGACAGCCAGGTAAGAAAGAAATAGTTTAGAATCATCTGGAAGCTTATAAAAGTGACATAAGTTTTGAAGAACTGGGTTTTATTATTTAAAATATAAACATTGAAATACAGAGAAAGGATAATTAGGAAATACACTCCCCCCCCCCTCGCCAGAGAAAAAAAAAGAAACTTGGGAAGGAGGGAGAGAGAAGAGAAGGAATGAAAGAGAAAAATGTGCCAATTGTCTCCATATAACAAGTGTTTTCAAAGAAGAGGTCAGGATAAAATAGTATATTTGATTTGTTGTCTTAATGTCATGTTTGTGTTCTCTCTTATTCCTTGTTTTTGCCCCTAGATTCCAAATGGAAGAAAGTACAAGATGTGGTTAATAAATTTACTCCAGAGTTATTGCAGTGTGGGCTTCACACCAGTTGATGTAAGAGATAAACATGGAACCCCAGTGTGTCCATGCAGGGGATAGGGAGAGGCTAGGGTCCCTGCAGGATGTTGGCCTCCAGCATCATCTCTGTTGTCTTTATTCTTTATAGTTCCAGTACATCAGAAACAGTATACAATTCTTTGTTCAAAGTGCCAAAACTGCTGTTGAATTGATGAATATAAACTACCAGATAAGTGACGAGGAGAACAAAAAGGTTGGTGTTGATGGAATTTTTTTAACTACTTTTTGCATACATGGAACCTGCCCAGAGATGAGTCTGTCTCTGAGACAGGAAGTTCTGGTGTTTATCCTACCCTCCCTTCACACAGATTTCTATCTTTGTGAATACATCTAGTGAACCTGCATCTGTGTTTTATAAGTTAACACCAGAACAAATGCACAGCCTAAAGGTAAGGCAGACTCAGGACGCATTGTTTCTGCTTCCCCACATCTCCCCCTTTTCCCCAACTCAATGAAGTCCCTGTCACTAACACCCCCAGATCCTCAGAGCTATTCTCTCCATATCTATTACTGCAGCTGAGCATGAAGAAACGATATGATGTCTCCAGGAAAGCTCTGTACCTCGGAAAGCTTCGCTTTGACCAAGGTATGACTGATAGCAATAATTGAAGGCCACAAATCTTCCTGGGAGGAAGACAATGGTAACCTTCAAAGAGATCTGCACTGGTACTGGTCTATATGGACTTCTCTTTGCCTGCTAATTGCTTTCTGTCCACTTCCTGAAGACTTGTTAGACAGTGGAATGGACATATTTTTGAACAGAAAAAGCTGCATGACTGCCACCCTTCAAATCATCCAAGAGGATTTCCCTGAGGTGAGGCCATAGATCCAGTGATGGTATTTGGGTAGAGGTCCAGAAGGGACAGAGTGCGGGGAGGTTTGTCTCTTAGAAAGTACATAATGATGATCATGCTAAATCTTATCCCCATAAGCTATTGTCCTTGAACGTGAGCAACAACAAAATATACTGGCTAGATGGCATGTCTGAATTAATAGAGAAGGCCCCTCACATAAAGACTCTCAACCTTTCAAGAAATTTGGTAAGCTGAGATTTGGGTTGCAGGCGGAAGGCAATGTACACTCTGATGTATAACTGCAAGAGGAAAGTTGTCTGTGTGAGGATGGGGAGCTATAGAGGCTAGGTTCTAGATCTATATGTCTTTGTCCGAAACACCTTTACCGTTTCTCTCCCATTTTTCTCAGCTAAGAACAGCATGGGAGCTGGAGAAGATGAAAGGGCTGAAGCTAGAACAGCTATGGCTAGAAGGGAATCCCTTGTGCAGCACTTTCCGAGACTATTCTTCCTATGTAAGGTACACACCTGCTAACACCTCCTTCCCCTCATGGATACCATAGTCCCCTGGTGGCCTGAGAGACTCTCTGTGGGAGGAGGCAGCCCTGGTCTTCTGGGAGGACCACAGGGCCTGCTCTCTCCCCTGTCTCTGTACCCTGGGTTTTGGTCATGGGCTTCCTTTGCGACTGTCCTGTCTGCCCCACCTCATCTAGCATGGGTTGTGTTTCACTTGTGTGAGTTTTCAGCCTCCTCCAGAAGGCCCTCCTGAGCATCTCACAACAGCACCAGGCCTCCTTCCCAGTCCTACAAGGAGCCTTCCTTCCGATCTTGTTCCTGAATGGTCCCCTCATCTGCCCCAGGATGCTCTAGAGGTTGTCCTGTCACAGCAGAGGGCTGAGGTCCTGGGTGATGCTGACGTGGACATCATGTCCCCTAGACTACTGCTGGGATCTCTGTCTTCCTTTGGATTGGAGGTCCTCTGCTTTCTAGATCAGAGATCCAGGAGTGGGCCATGACTGGGGAGCTGAAGGTTTCCTGGAGCAGGAGGGGAAGGGAGAAGGCAGAAGAGGTTGAGGAGAAAGAAGCCCCTGGCTTTCTAGAAGCCTCCATCCCTCCTTCCTTCTCTACCTACCTATGGACCAACCTTCTTTGCTCGTCATCCTACCTAGCATATCAGAGGAGCCTTGGGTAGCCTGAAACAAGCAACTTGATTCTTTGGAGAAGACCCACACCCATCCAGGCACAGGCCCACAGAGTCTTCAGGGGAGAACAAAGTGATCATAGGCATCCATCCATGCTGAACTGGGAACTCACTCATCACTTCTGCTTCTGGACAATGGCTTTTCCCTCCAGGGATGCTATGCTCTTTATCCCCAGATCACTCAGGAAAAGTGTAGGCCCGCATATTCTGCTATCCTCAGTATGGTGCATGCTTTCATTCCTGCTTTGGGTCCCTGGGCTAACCAGGCAGGAAGGAAAAGGCAGCAGTGGGGCAGCCCTTTTCCTCTATGTTACACCATCCCGCTGTCCCAGGCTAGACAGAATATCTCCTATTCCCTTGGCTTTGTTTCTTCTGTCTCCTTTGCCTTTACTCTCCTATGTCCCTCTCATATTTCCTTCACCATCCCTCCCTTACCATCCATTTCTGTCACATCTACCATTCTCCTGTCATCTCCTTCTTGCTTCCTGAGTTGTGCCTCCCTCAACTCCATTTCTCTTCATTCCAAAGAATACTGAACACCTGGCAAGATGACAGAGCCCTGAGGTCCTGTCTTGTGTCCTACTCCTCTAAAGACCTTCTCTGGAGACTCTGTGGAAGAGAGGGAGTCAGGGAGAGGAGGAAGTCCTGGACCCGGGCTCCCAGAATGCCTTCCTGGGGCCAGTGCAGTGTGGGTGGGAGCTACCCAGGCATGGGAAGTAGGTGAGGAGAGGGAAGAGAACAAGAGGGAAAACCACAGGCAGACAGTCGCAGGGGAGAACTACTACTAGGACTTGAACTGTCAGTCACTTCTGTGGCTTTTGTTTTTTCCACAGTGCAATTCTGAACTATTTTCCGGAGTTGTCATACTTAGTAAGTTCCTGCCTTCATTGTTTCTCTTCTCCACCAAATACAAGATCTCCATCCCTGCTCCCAGGCCCTTGTGTCTTGCTAGAAAACATGAATCTTCTCCTTAGGGAAAAATATTTCATAAGCACAGAAAGAAGGAAGGAGGAGAAAGAGGGGCAATATCTAGCAGACATCCACTGTAATCTCACAGCCAACAGAATTTCCTGGGCCATTTCACACCTGGCTTTTACTCTTGTTCCGAAGCCTTCTTTAGCTCCTTGGGCATCGTAGTCCATGTCCGTCATCTGTGCTCCTAACATCTTCCTTCCTGCAGGATGGCATGAAATTATTCCCAACAATTGACATTAACACCTTGGAAATAATAAAACCACGCAAGGTGAGGAGTGACCTTCAAGATTCAAGAAGTTGCAAGGGAAGATTCTGTCAACAACTAGTTTAAAAGTGTTTTCCATTTCAGGAAAGCTATAAAGGATCTGAGAGTCTGAAGAATCTGCTCGTGCAATTTATGCTTCAGTAAGTAGCCTTGATAGCATGAGAAAATAGAAGGCTGGGGTGGGCTATCACTGCATAAGTTTGCATGTAACAATTTTCTGGTATCATTTGGAACTTGTGCCAGACTTGTGCCCTTTGGTTCACTTCCCACAGGTACTACTTGATCTATGACTATGGTGATCGTCACAGTCTCCTTAGCGCTTACCATGCAGATGCCTGCTTCTCCCTGACCATAACTTTCAACTCTGAAAAGGAAGACCTGTGAGTATCCCAGCTGAAGCTTTATTCTGGAACAGCAAGTTCCACCTCTAGTATACACAGGGGTGAAACCACCCAGAATGACACAAATACCTTCTTTTGTTCTCCTAGGAGCAACTTAGAAGACTACGTCAAAGATAACAGGAATATGATGAGGCTGAAGAACTCCCGTAAGGATGTAATGAAGTGATAAAGGAGGCAATAAAATAGTACAAGGCCCAAAGGGTGTATTATAACCATATCTTTGCTTCTCTACTTTATATAGTTCTGCGGCTACAGCTGCTGAAGCACAAGAAATGTAACATCCTGACCTGCCTCCATGAACTGCCAAAAACACAACATGATTTAAATTCCTATGTAATAGACCTCTGTGTCCAGACAGTGAGTACCTGCTTCTTCCTGTAGGTGTGACCAGAAAGGTACAAGTAAGAACTGTTAGAAGAATAATCAAAACCTTACCAAGTTTACCATTTTCTTTCTTTTCAGGAAAAAATGATCTGTTTCTCTGTCAGTGGAGTATTCAAAGAAAGTAAGTGTAGAATCTCTATCAGAGAGCTTTCAGGGTTCTTTGCTCGTGGAAGAAATCCCTACCAGAGCATTCCCAGCCCGTTCTCATATTCTTTCTTTCCCTCTGTCCCCCTCTCCCTCTGTTCCCCCTCCCCTTCTTCCCCCTCTCCTTTTTTCCCCTTCTCCTGCTCCCCCTCTCTCCCCCGTTCCCTGTTCATTCTCTTCTCTTTACTGATTCATTGTTTCCCACATGTCTTTTCACACCCTGCACAGTTCAGGCATCAGGGCTCTAAAGTTTGGTTTCTCTCCTTCGTCTCAGTGTAAATTGTCCCATTCTGGCTCCCATCTGGGTGACCCAGTGTCTGGTCTGATTCTCACTGTGGAGTGCTGCGTGCGTTTGAAAATCATGTGCAACTCCAGTAGTTTGTTTTGTTTTGTTTCCTCTCATTTCATTTTGTTTGCTTGTTGCCATTGAAGTGGAAGGAAAGTCTTGGGGATGTGTCCGTGCCTTCACCCGGACATTCATCTTAACTGCTGACAGGCATTTCAGGTGAGGACAATGTTGTGAATGGATAGAGAAACACCTGCACAGGCCTTGGGCTAGGGGCACATTCATATACTCTTGAGATTCTAAGAACGTCTTGGTAAGTGATTATGAGCATGGCCTGATTGTTTCTCTTGATAGTAATCAGCTGTGTGACCTTGACCAAATTATAAGTCTCCTCTGTGAGTCAGTAGTCTCTAAAATTGTGCAGGTAACCACTTCTTTTGTAAAAGGTAAACAAGGGAGAGTTAAATTTACACTCTAATGAAGCCGATAGGAGATCTCTCCAAAGGTAATCCCCTGGGTGTGGGGGGGATACACATCAATCAGCTAATGAGACATGAAAATAAAGTAGGAGTTTGCTTTTAAAAGCCACCTTTCTTCCAGGCTGTGCATTGTGAACGATGAGATGATTTTGAGAAATGCCAGCCCTGCAGAGACCAGGAAGGCCTTCTCTACCGTTAGGCCCACAACGTCCTGCACACGGAGTTGCTGGAACACCCACACTGATCTGAAGTGAGTTCTGAAAATTGCTGGCAATAATCTTGATTTGAAGGAAGTCGAGCTTTAATAGAAATTTGCAACTATTCAGATGTTGTGAAGCCAAGTTTTGGACCAAATTTTGAAAAATATGCATTAATTTTATAGTGACATTATAAGCAGTTTTTAAACAAATTCCATTTGCAGTATCATGAGTAAGAAACATACCCAGGGACATACTTAGCAAAGATGTGAGAAAGTATTGCAGAAATAAATAAAACTTAAAACAATTTAAAAAATGGATCTTTTTTCCTGAACACTTAACAATATTATGAGAGCAACACTCCCCAATTTCTTGTTCATATTATATGCCCATATAAACCATATCATAATCTTAACCACTGGCTTTTAAAATTCAAACGAAAGTGAAGTGAACCCATCATAAAAAATAATCTTGAAAATGAAGAAGGTAGTTGGAAAACTCACTGCAATATTACTATAAACTTACATTAAAGTATAAGAAAAAATAACCCTAGGTGCTATAGATACATAGAACAATTAACAAAGTACAAGTCCAAAAATATAAAAACATGTAACATTGCTAAATAATCAGTTTTTAAGCAGAGTACCAAAGTTACAAAGAGGGAAATGAAAAGTAAATCCACTGAATCAGAAATAATTTTCGTATGTTTGATAAAAACTTTGACAACATAACAAATAAAAACATGACAAATTCTTAGAATTTGATAATTAAAGGACCTGTTCCATTTAAAATAATTAACTCCATTTATTTATATTTTGTATATGCATGCTATGGGGATTGTGTAGAAGTTGTAGGACAACTTGCCAAAGTCAGTTCTCTCTTTCCACCAGGATCCAGGGGAAGGGATTCTGGTTGTCACATTTGGTGGCAGCACCTTTTACCTGCTGTCTTTGTTAAATTTTCCATTGCTGTGATAACACACCATAAACAAAAGCAACCTGAAGAAGGAAAGGTTTATTTCAGCTTGTAATTCTCTTGTCACATTCCAACAGTGAGGGAACTCAGGTTTGTTTGTAACTCAAGGCAAGAACCTGGAGGCAGGATCTGAAGCAGAGGCCATCCTGAAGCAGAGGCATGCTGCCAACTAACTGACTTACACATCATGGTTTGTTTAACCAGCTTTCTTAGAGCACTCAGGACCACCAGCCAAGAGGTGGCACCAACCACATTGAACTGGGCACTACACATCAATCATCAAATCAAGAAAATGCAGGCTTGGTGTAGTGTTACATGCTTTTAATTCTAGGACTTGGGTGGCAGAGACAGGTGAATCTGAGTTTAAAGCTGCCTGGTCTACATAGGGAGTTCCAGACTAGCCTGGACTGCAAAGTGAGACCTTGTCTGAAGAAACAAAACAAAATGAATAAATACATAGATCAGATAAATCTGAACTTTGTAATGCATGTATATAGTTGCATCACTTGGTAAGTAGAGCAACAGGAGCAGGAGGAAAGAAATTTAATTACTTTGGTTTTTTTTTCTCTTTGACTCAGGCCTCTCACTGGGCACAAGAGGGGCTTGGAGTTCCTTGCCTCTTCCTGGGTCAGAGAGGAGAGGGAAGAAGGGAAAAGGGAGGGAGGAGAGGGGAAAGGAAAAAAGAAAGACAGGAAGGAAGGAAGGAAGGAAGGAAGGAAGGAAGGAAGGAAGGAAGGAAGGAAGGATAGAAAGGCAGTCATTGAGAGACACACATACTGGATGAAGCTGAAGAAGGCTGCACCACCACTTTATTGTTATTCTTAGTTTTTATACTTTCTCAGGATAATTGATCACATGGATTTCTAAGCACTTTTACATTCCATAAGTTCATAGTAATTTTAAGGCAATAGTCCTTGTCATAGATAAATAAAATTTAAGGAATTACAGCAGATTTGTTTACATGTCTTTCCATTAAGACGAGTACCTGACTAAATATTCATTATCCCTTTCTAGCCCCATATCTTCATTATAAGTTTAAAGCAATCATTTTACGTCATAGGTTAGCATGGTTTTGTCAAGAGACAAATCATCTGCCTCGTGCCTTGTTATTTTGAAGTCTTGTATAAGTAGAGTACTCCATCATTTACTTTCTGTCCTTGCACCTACAATAAATTGCCCATTCCTAGTTTTCAACCTTTAGTTACCAGACAGTGGCTTCATCCCTAACCTAGAAGGAATGTTTTCCTTGATCGTAAATTTGTTCCAAGCCTGCTTTCCTTTCCTCGTGGAATTAGCCCTTGACACCTGAAAGTTTACAGAGCTCTTTTTACAGCTTTTATTCTACAGAACGCTTGAGATTACTTGTATTAATTTAGGAATTCTACAAAATCACTATCAGGAATTATGAAATCATCAATTCATCTTTACAGCATCACTACATGAGAGTTCATCTTCATGTTGATCTGCAGGAAATTTGCCCAGTAGGGTGAGCTGATGCCCAGGAATCATTAGGCTGTGTAATAGTGGCAGGAAATGCATATCAGCACTGAGAAGCAATCCTGGGACAAAGTCTCTGAGGACCCTGTAGCTCAGAGTGCACCCATCACAGCCATGCAAAATGGTGGGCCATCTCCAGAAAACTTGATTCCAATAGTGTTTCCTAGATAGCTTCTGACACCAAGGATTTATGTTTATTCTATTTAAGAACATGTCCCAGCAAATGAGTAGCATAGGTTAAACAACATAGCATGCTGTTCTATTTAAGATGAGGAAAATGCTTTGAAATTGGATAACTGTGACAGTTGTATAACATTTTCAATACATAGAAAATCACTGAATTATATACCTTAAAATAATAAATTATAGGAAATGTCTAAATATCTTAATTTAAAAGCAATGGGTTTTTTTTTATTTTTTAATTTTCATTTGTTATTTTCTTGATCTTCTCTTTTAATGGCTAAGGATTAAGGTCCATTCTTAGGCATGACCCTGTGTTCTTTGCTTTGAATCCTGGGCCTAATTGGTGGCCAACATTGTGAGTCCTTCCAGGTCTTTCATCACCATTACAATAGTACTGAGTCTGGCACACATGTTCCAGCAAATGAGTAGCATAGGTTAAGTGGTGGCACTTTGTGGTCCAGTGTATCTTTCTTGTTGTAGTAACTGAGGTTACCTGTCCTTCTTCCATCCCAGGCATTTTGAAGACACGTGGAAATGCAACAGAGATGATGAAGCCCTCTTTACATTCCAGGTGAGGCCCGGGAATCAAAGGAGTGAAAAATAAGTGTTCCTGGGCCTTCAGCAAAATGGGACCCCAGTGCCTGGGGATGGAACTCAGGGTATGAGGCTCTTCTAATATCCTAACTTTTTTCCTTCAGACCTAGGAAAGATTCTTAAGTGAATTCTTCAAGCTCTAAAGGGAGCCCTTGGAAGTCACCTTCCTCTTCATCCACATTACTATTTGTTTCTTTCTAAGCCATTTACCTGGCTATAATTTGAGGCAATAACTAAGAAATCAAATATATATAGGCCATGCATGTAATAGCCACTCACAAGACCAATTGCTCTGTATATAACTCCCATGAAGAGGACTTGGTGTTCCCATAATAAAAGGCATTGCTAAATCTTGTGTCGTGAATTGAACTTTTTCTGCTATAATGGAACCAGGACCTAATGACCCTGTGTACCCTGACTTTCATCACATTGAACTATCAGGCTTGCTTCCATAGCAACTTGTAAAGGACACATGATACTTACCAGTAATTAGTCTTTGGAGACCAGGACATCTGTGAAGTTGTTCTATCTGGAGGCTTGCAAGAAACATGCACGTAACCTGGTACAACCAGGGCCTCGAAAGAGCTGCCACCAGATTAGTAAGTCTCTGAAGAAGGGAAAGGTTGTAAGAAGGCATACATTTTACTTCTCTCTGACCATTTGAACGTGTGTCTTGATGTGTTTTGTGACCTTCACATAAGTGGGTGGCAAGGAGGCCTTTTCGCAGTTCCCTGTGCTTCCATTTCTCTTCCTGCCTCCTCCCTTTCTGGAAGTTGCTGCGCAGAAAGTGGAAAGCAAGCCAGTCAAGCCTGTCTGTGGAAGCGTTGCTCACAGAGCACACATAGGGTGCTCCATGCCCATGCACGCACTCTTGCTTTGGGGCCAGGTCTGTGGACCTTTCACAAAGAGCAGCAGTTAGTAGTTCTGAATTCCAGGCAGGTGTTAAATGAAAACTCTGCAAAATCTGTTTCCCAAAACATGGATTCCCTCTATTTCTGTAATGCATGTACTTTAGACAAAAAAAAAACAGTTTGTTTGTTTTGAAATTCAACTAATAGTAGCACAGAGTTTTTAAACTATAGGTGTGGAAATGATGAGACAGGTGTTGTCCTACTAGTTGGCAAGTTACTTGCCTGCAATTGGTTGTGCTTAATGTAATTTTCTATCAATTGCCATTTGAAGTTCTGTTTTCACTTTTAAGAGTTTAAAAATATGTGATTTCTTTAAAATGAAGAAATGGGCTCAGTATGGAATTTACACAAACACTTTGTTATTCCTTTCCCCTGAACCCTTTTTGTTGGCCGGCTCTTTTCCAGAATAGCCCCCTTCTGTTTCATGCCTCATGTATTCTATTACCTTTACTGCCTCATTTTCTTCCCTCCTCCACTAAGACCTGTTTTTACCATCCCTTTGTCTCCAGTTTGCAGGCATATGCTCACACCTGTACATGCATATATACACACATGTAAAAATTAAGAACTCGGATCCACCTATAAGAGAAAATTCTGCATTTGCCTCTCTGAATCTAAATTACTTTGCTTAGTATAATAATTTTAAATTCCCTACTACTATGGTTTATGCTCAGTGGTCATATTATTAAACCTAAGTACTCATATTTTTGTGCCCACCCCTTCATCAGAGAAACTTCTTATGGTTGTGGCAGAAGCTAATACAGAAACCCATAACCAGCCAGAGTGCTAAGAAAAAGTAAGTCCAGGAGAGTCAAATGATGGGAAGATGTACAACAGAAAGACATCTTCTTGACATAACACAATCATTACAGTAATGAACTTATTGCAGCTGTGGTTATAGGTATAAAACCCAATCAAAGTTAGCCCCCATCGACATATCATTATGGATGGAGGGATTCCATGAAGCATGATCCCTCTCTGAGAGACTGTTGGCAGTTCATGGCTGTTGAAAGATTTTTTTTTAATTCTGAAAGTTGTCTCCTCACTCTGCTGATGCTTCATTCTGCTTCAAAATATATGCTTAATTTCACAGAACCCTATTTGTCACTTTCTGTATTTTCTGTGATAATAAAATCTGTTTCAGGAACCCTGAAACCTATGCTTTCCTTTACGTATACCTTAAAGACTTCCCTTATGTATGCCTCTAGCAGTGTCAAAGTTCCCTCCATTATTTGGTAAAGAAGCTGTTCTTTTTTGTCAAAAATTAGGTGTTTCTGTCTGTGAAGGTTTATCCCTGTAGTCTGTATTCTATTTCAATGGTCTAAATGTCTGCTTTTGTGTAAGTTCCATGAAGTTTCTTTTTTTTATTCGTTGACAAATCCATATCTATGGATTTTTACCCCTATTACCCTCTCTCATCCCCTTCTCACTTTTGTGCTAAACCTGTTCATTCCAACAAGTTCTCAATCCTACTTTCAAGAATTTTGCTATTGCTATTTGTTTTTATTGTCTGTTTGTTTTTTTGTGACCTACTAAATATAATTAGTGTTGCTTGCATGGGTTTAGTTGGGAGGATATTAACCATACTGTGAGCATGTTAGTAACTGCTACAATACCAAATGTAATGACTTCTTCTCCTACAGCATCTAATTACCACTGTTAGTTCCTCAGAGAGCTATGCTATTTCAAACACCTCTGCCTATTTATAATGGAATGCTTACTGATCTCATTTTGTGCCATTTTTCAGTCTGAAACCACAGTTGCTGTGACTTCATAGGTGAAATAGCCATACCACATTTGGAAGACAGAGGACGGTGTTTCACAGAGTTTACCCCACAAACCAGCATTTATTTTCTTTCTGCTAGCATTTTTGCAGTGTTCCTTTGGAACCTTGGAAGGGAAATACAGATTTTCCATTTAGAGATGAGTTGTCAGCAGTCAGTTATTGTCAGCTCTTTGACCAGTGACAAGTCTCCATGTTGTTACCCACTGGAAACTTCCTTTCCTTTCCCGCCCTCCCCCCCTCCCCCCCCCCCCCCCTCCCTCCCGCCCCCCCCCCCTCCCTCTCTCTCTCTCTTTCTTTCTTTCTTTCTTTCTTTCTTTCTTTCTTTCATTGTTTGTTTGTTTGTTTTGTTTTTCGAGACAGGGTTTCTCTGTGTAACAGCCCTGGCTGTCCTGGACTTCCTTTGTACACAAGCCTGGCCTCAAACTCACAGAGATCTGCCTGCCCCTGCCTCCCAAGATGCTGGTATTAAAGATGTTTGCTACCATTGCCAGGCTAAACAAGGATGAGAGACACACTAACATATGGGTATAAATGTAAATGTTTAGGGAAGATATGGTAGTTTATTCCTTTAATCCAAGCATTATGGAGGCAGGGACAGCTCTGAGTTTGTGGCCAGGTCTGGTCTACATATCTAGTTCCAGACTAGTCAGATCTACACAGTGAGATGCTTATCTTAAAAAAAATGAAATCTACACATATCCATAAATCAGCATAATAATGTTTATTTAGCAAGACAGCTTCCTCAGTAGAAGTAGAAGCTTCCTCCCTTGCACTCATGACTTTGTTAACTACGGAGTATTAACCAGTATTACAGTACCAGGCATGGATTCTCGCCTGTGAAATGGGCTTCAAATATGATTAAAGCCGTTCATTCCCCAAGTAGCAGTCATTCTGATATTGCAACGTTAGGTAAATATTTTCTGACATGCCAATAATGTAGTTCACAGAGTTCACAGCTTCCTAAAACCATTAATAGCTTTTCTTTCTCCAGTAGCCTAAATAGCACCCTTTTTGCACTATGAGAGGTAGCTAGGAAGAAGGGAGCTTTCAGCTAGCTGTCAGCTTGATTGCTTTGGGTTCTGTGACCAAAATATCAAAGTTCAGAACGTCTTTAGTCATAGGGACCTTTTGTTGTTGTTCTGGCAAATGACCAAGAGCAATAGGAATTAGATGTATTCCTTGAGGAACCACTGTAAGGCACCTGATGTCTGGCACTAAGAGGTGTGTGTGTGTGTGTGTGTGTGTGTTACTTGTTTCATTCTTTTAAATTTATTTTTTAATTTTGTGTGTGTGTATTCATTATCCATTTATATATTCATGGACATATAATCTGGTCTGATTTCATTTCTTAGCTATTCTGAATACAGCCACAATGAACATGAATGTGCAAATATCTCTGTGGTGGAATATGGATCTCTTTTGTTATGTTCCCAGGAATGGTAGAAGTCACACAGTACTTCTAGTTTTCAGTTTTTAAGAAACCTCCATGTTGATTTCCATAGTAGCTTCACCAGTTCCACCAGTTCACACTTCCACCAACAGTGGATAAGCTTTCTTTTCCCCATATCCCCACCTGGATTTGACAAGAAAACAACTGGCACTAAAAGCTATTGAAGATGCGCCATATGTTTAAGGGTTTAAGGATACGTTAAAGTTAAAAGGCCTACTAGGGGAAAGCATAATGGTACTCTGTATATGCTTCAGTAGCCAAGAAGTCCCTGAAACTCGAAACTGGTTTGAGTGGATTCATTCAGAGTTGACCACTACTTCCTGTTTTCTCTTTCTTTTTTCTTTTCTTTTCCTTTCTTTCTTTCTTTCTTTCTTTCTTTCTTTCTTTCTTTCTTTCTTTCTTTTTTGACTGCTTTTTTTAGGGCCCTGGGCTGCTGGTCCATCTGGAAGGACCATTACCACCTATTTTTACAATTATTAGTTTTATTGAGCCTCCCACCCAAACTATTTTCATCATGTTTCCCAGGTCATGAAGATGATCTGTCTGGAATGACCATCGCCACCTAGTATTGTTCCTTATAGGCTAGTTATTCCTTCCAAAAGTTAACCTTCTGCCTCATAAAATTATCAGGTTTTCTGGTAATGTAGACTGTAGACTGAGAGGAAACCATGTACTTTTATTAATGCAATTTCAAAGTTCCAAACATCCTTAAAACAGGAAAAATGCCTCTCACCGTAGTCTACTAACAAGGTAGCTAGCTCAGCTTAGAGTTAAGGTGTATAGGACTGATGGGCTGGGACATTTCTAAGTGGTATACATGTTAGACACGCTTTCTGATTCCAAGGCTTATTTTACTTAAATTTATGTTCAAATAGATAATACAAACATGGGGCTCAACATTCAAAATGCAAGGGTTTATCTAATCAGAGATTTAGGGGGCAAGAAACATGATGGAACGAGCCTGGAAGAAATCCACAGAGCAGGGACTGATGTTGGTTCATGGATACAAAGATATTTTGGCATTATGTCTTGTCAGTAAGATTCTTGTTTTCCCAGTGCCGAGATTAAATCCAAGCCACTGCACCTTTTGGTAGTGAGGTCATCCTGGGAGTGGAACTCATTTGCAGTTATTTTTCTCCACCACTGTTTTTCCTATATTCTTACTTCCTGTTATCTAAGACTAGTTCAAAACAAGAAACATGCTGGACAATAAGAGCAAAAGATTCCAAGGGATGACAACAGGAAAAATACAAAGGGAGATTGAAAACCATCTGGCAGCAGAGCACTTTCCCATAGGCTCCACCACTGCATCATACATTTCATGCAAACATGCCCTTACAAGTGCGTCACTGGAGGATTTTTCTTGTAGAGGAAACAGTTTAGAATTTGTTGGAATAAATGAGAATTTTTATTCATAATCCAGCATTGCAAGCCCCCATCCCCAAAAGCTTTTCTATCTTGAGCCCCTCCCCTACCTAACCAGCCCACTTCAGTGGGCGGGGGAGTTTAGTGACGAAAGTGTAAATACTACTTGTTTGCTACCCTTCCGCCCGGCAAGGCGACAGCTTTTTCTCCTGACGCCACAGCGTGAAAACCCAGTATGTATTTCGAAATGGAAAGACATGCCTAAGAAGGAAGCTGAAACCGACATTTGGTAATCGTCTGCTTCCCGGTGTTTGGCGCTTTTTCCCTAGTTCGGCATCAGAACCCAAGTGTCGCAGTATGCGCCACGCGCAGCACTCTCAACTGGCAATCTTATCACTCCACTTCCCTAAGCCGGAACTCCTTAAACAAGTCTAGCTCCTCCCACTGCGGGCCTCCGTAATGACGTAGCCACGCCTAGTGCGTCCCGGCGGATGTAGAGGCGTTTAGTCGCTTCGTGAGAGACCGGAGAGAGAGGAGTGGGTACGGAAAGGTGGTAGAATTTGCTAATCATGGCCCTTCATCTTGTCCTGCGTCCCAAGCTCCCGGCAAGCCCCTAAATACAGCCGCCGCCATTGTCTCTGCTCCCTGGGCCTGATTGCTGATTGCGTTTGCCTGCCTCCTTTCTGTACGGCAAGGCAGCACCGGAGATAACGCAATTAAGAAAACAGCCTTGGACTCAAACAGAACAGGTTAGTAAGAAGGAGGGCATTGCTTGGGGTTGTGGATGCGGGTTCCATGATTGGTGCGGGATTCGTGACCTGATTTTAGGAGGCGAGTGTTGAAAAGACTAGGGAGGATGATAAAAAGCTATCTACGTTTCAGTAAACTCCCATCATCATGGTCGGGAAGGGAGGTGGATGCAATGGCAACATCTACTGGGGAGATGGCTTACTTGTCAGAGAAGCGGAGGACTACCAGTGCTGATGAAGACATTTGTCTGAGGAGTCTTGAGAATCAGGGAGGAGGTATACAAAGGTGTTATAAATGTGGAAATATTAAATCTTGTATTGGGTATATTTGAAGATTGTTTTCACATTCTGGTTGCTTATCTGACCATTAATTAACTACATCTTACTCACTGTGATTTCATTTGATTTAGGACTAACGCACATGTATTTGTGTTGATAAATTTTCTCCCTGGTTTGCATTTCTCCAGGTTTCAGGGCGTCAGATCACGTCAGATCAAAAGGGGAGGGAGAAGATAAACAAAACTGACCTGATTTCTGTACAGTGGGAAAAAGCTGCAAGAATAGGTAGGGTTCTAGAATAATTTCTACATCTCCTCTTTTCCAGCCTTCCAGAAATGCCCTTCGTTACCCCAACTATGTTGCAGAATGTTGCAGAATGTGATAGGTGTGTGTGTGTGGGGGGGATGATCATAAGAATGTGTAAGAAAATTGAAAATGATACTTTTCGTTATTTCCCCAGCTTCCTGTTATTGTCAGGCATTTCATCCCTATTGCCACCACTACGGCCGACTGTGCAGAGATGATTTAGTTGTCTCTTCATGGAAATTATCAGGCTTTAAGAATATAGCAGAGGAACATGGAGATTTCTGGGTGTCATGTGGGGGTGGCAAAAGAAAGGGAATCAGAGAATTCTTTACCAAACAAGTATCTGTGTCCAGCAAGCACTTATTCCTTAAGTACTGTTTTCTAAATTATACTCAGTAGTGATGTTCTCCTGTTTGTGGATTTCCTTTGGTGGACACATCCAGAGGGTTGTATAACTGTTGCCTGTTGTGAACATTTGTAAAATAACTGACTGTGAAGTTAGGAGATAATGAGGAGGAAATTATACTGTTTCTAGGGTTAGTGTGAAGACAGACAAGGGTCCCTTAGACTAGAAAATCACATCCTTTTCTTTTGTCAGTTTCAGTGACCTCCAGCCGGTCTGTGGATTCACGTAGGAGTCTTGGTCTACTTTAGAGATAGATACAGGATGGAAACATCTTCCCCTCATGCCCTCTTCCTCGTCCTGCTCTAACACTTCATTATTAATCTGTTTTTCAACTAGGGGATTACCCAAACAGTCACTGAAGAGGACAACGGTGGCCCCTAAGGGAGGAGGAGGAGGAACAGCTTTGAAGCTGGATAATGGGAGGAGAGGAAGACCAGGAAAGGAAAAGCTAGACAAACTGTCTGAGAAGGACAGGGACCAAGGTCTGTATCCAAAGAGCTTAGTTTCTCTATCCTCTGTATCTGTCTGTAGGTCTGCCAGATCTGCTGCAGGACTTGTCACCAATAGAAGCAGAGAAAGGAGGAGAAAATTCATTCTGACGAGCACAGGTTAGTATGAACGTGGGGACTCCTTGAGTAAGACCTGTAGGATGGAATAGTAAAGACTTGGTTGGCTCCAGCCCAGGTCAGCAGACAGCCTTGGAATTCTGCAGCCTCTTGTGTCCGTCCAGCTTTCCTATTCTCTCTGCCCTTATTCGTGTCTGCAAAGACAGTTGGTAGCATATGGAGGTGTAGACAGTGGGTAACCTGAAAGAAGGAGTTGGTTACTTGTCTTCCCCATAGAGCACTGAATTTCCATCCTTAAGTATGTCTCTGTGCTAATCAGCATGAGGAGAAAGAAAATTGGAAGAGACTTAAAGCCCCATTTCCTTCCTCCACCCCTAGGTCCAACTTCAGTGACAGATCTGATGGCCTTGGAGTGGCTGAAGACCACCACCCTCCACAGGCCTGCGCCCAAGCACAGCTATCCTTTATCTTGAGTGAGCTTCCTCAGCGTGCTGTCTATATAATTGGCAGAAACTGTAGTTGGAAAGGGGCCTGAATGACTCCTGGACTTTATATGAATACACCTACTTGGGGCTGACTTTTGGGCAAGGCTGAGATAGGGGCATATTTAGCTTTATCTTTCTCTTGAACCATGATTGGCTCTAAAACTAAAAGAAAAGCTAGAGAAGAGTCAGGGGCTTCCTCAAAACCTGGAACCAATAGCCCTGCCAATGCTAAAGGAAAAGCCAAGAGTCAGACCAATAAAGCGGTTAAGGCAGAACCAAAAGAAGAATGGGGAAACCAGGCTCAGGCTAGGGATCAAGCAGTGGCCAGGACACAGCCAGCAGTTTCCACTGAGCCCAAGACTGTGACATGGAAAGTAAAAAAAAAGAAAGATAAGACTAATAGTAGAGTCATGGCTCAGGCTAAGACGGAACTCCTGGCAGAGCCGAGTTTAGTACCTCACACAAAGTCAGATGCTTTGTCTACATCTGTGGTCATTACTGTAAGCAAGTCTGAAGTCAAGGTTGACACTGGAACTGAGGCATCTGTTAAGGGCTCTGCCAAAGCTACTGATAAGCGTAGTATTAAGCACAAACCTGAGTCAAAGAAAGAGGTCTGTGTCAGATCCAGGGCTGGGGACAAGGCTAGTACTGTCATCAACACCACTGACGAGGATGAAGATTATGTGTGCTCCTGGTTTTGGACTGGAGAAGAGCCTAGTGTAGGGTCCTGGTTCTGGCCTAAAGAGGAAAATGCTCTTCAAGTTTATCAGCCTCCACCAAACGTTGAGGAAGAACCTGAACCCCCTGATACATTCGACTTTACTTTAAAAAAAAAAGCTGCAGCATGGTTAAGGGGCAGGTTTATTGTCCTAGTCCCAGTTGAGGAACCCCAGCCGTCTTTACCTCCAGAAGGGAACTGGACTCTGGTTGCGACCTTAATTGAAACTCCTCTGGGTATTCGGCCTTTGACCAAGATTCCACCTTATGGTGGACCTTACTTCCAGACTTTAGCTGATTTAAAAAACCAAATCCGGGAAAAAGAAAAGTATGAACCCAATCCAAAGACCTGCCGCTGTAAATCACGTACCTTTAGTTTAGAGCCTGTTGAGTTTGATAAACTTGTTGCCCTACTTAAGTTAACTAGGGATCCGTTTATTCATGAGATAGCTACCATGATAATGGGTATCAGTCCTGCTTACCCATTTACTCAAGATATCGTTCATGATGTTGGTGTCACTGTTATGATTGAAAATTTTGTCAATAATCCAAATGCTAAAAAATACCCTAGAAATTTAAATTTAAATGCCAACCCTGACGCCCCTGAAGAAGTGAAAGAGATGGAAGCACATGTAAATAAAGTTTGTAGGGATATACTCTCTTGTCCTTTGAACTGCTCCGTGCAAGTGGAGGAACTAAAGCTGTTAGTGAGCTTGAGTGTGAAATTTGATTATCACCACGTGGTTATCTATTATGTTCGCTATTTCATCTCATTGTTAAACAAAGGAAGTGTCAAAATAAAGTTTCAGATTTTAAGAGTTATTCTGTGTTTGTCAAAAAATCAAGCCAATATAAGAGAACTGATCAGTGCTGAAGTACTGTCCTCACTGGTTGCTCACTTTCACAAGAATGAGTCAAAGGCTAATATTCTTCATATCATTGAAATATTTGAGAATATAAATTTCCAATTCAAAAAAAGGGTAAAGCTATTTACTAAGGAAATGTTCACTAAATCTGAACTTATTTCCATATTTCGGGAGGCAAAAGAGTTTGACCAGAAACTCCAAGACTTAGCAGACCACAGTGACCCTGACGTGAGAGATAAAGTCGTCCGATTAATACTCAAACTCTAAATAGCTGTATATTCTCACAAAGCCTTGAACATTTTTGTCTTTCCAGTATAAATTGAATGCTTATTATAATTATAAATTTGATACTTATGCTCTCTGTGTTGATGGAGGCCATTTTCTGGATGCTACTCATCTTGAGAGATTGAATAGTTGCTGGTTTTTATTGTGCTATATAATATAAATTAAGATATTTTTGGAATTTCTGTAATGTAACCCAGTACTGAACCTATTCGTTCTAAATAAGCTATATTTCTGTGCATTCTATTGATATAAGTGTATTTTCGTATTCCATTTATGTGTTTTTAATAAAGTTGCATGCTAAACGCAATGAAAACATTGTTCCAGTTCTTTAGTTGAAATGTAGTCAGAGGTGAACAATGTAAAGAAAGCCAAAATTGTTTTCTGTCCATTTACTGATGGGGGTGGTACAAACAAACAGATTCACAAATTGACAGATCTTTCAGTTTCAACATGTTCAGGGAATACAGTCAACCATTCCGTGACCAAGAAGACAGGACTGTGCTTCTGGGTGGCTGGAGGTTGTAGATGGCAGGGTTTCTGTGGAGGAATGATACTGAGTCCAGACAGACTTAGGAGGAGAATACAGACACCTTCACATCACTATTGAGTCCTTGAACTTGTACTTGGCTTGTACATCGTGTTCAATTATGGACAATGGTGGGAAGTACAGTTCTAAAGGGACACAGCCACACTGTATCCTTATTAGCCCTTTTCCTATCCAGGAATGTCAGATTTACTACTTCCAATGAGG